GGGGGGTTCGAACGAACCCCCCCCCCCCAGCCCCCAAACCAAAATTTTTTTTTTGAAAATTTGCAAGAATTTCACCTCAGGTCGCTCCATTTTAGTGTAATAATTGCAAAATCTCCATCGTGCGGGAGGGTGAACAGCGAACACCCCCCTCCCACACCCTCCCCCCGCTCGGTCCGACGGTCGCTTGGCTCCCTCGCCTGGTCACTTCGCGCCCGAGCAGTGGCGTGTACAGGGGGGTCCAGGGAGTCCGGACCTCCCCTTGCTCGCGCAGAAAACGCATCTGAGGGGGTATAATTTAAAAAAATTTAAGACAGAGACCCCCCCTTCGCGTGCTCGCAACTTTGGGTTACGGTTAGACCCCCCTGGTACAAATCCTGTACACGCCCCTGCCGAGCAAATTGCCAACATTGAAAAACGAACATAATAATAAGCCCAATATAAAGCTGGCTACGGGCCTGCATACATATAATCAAGAGTGGATAATAGAGATCTCTATTATCCACTCTTGATATAATTATAGATATATATAGAATATTTAAAATGAAGAGGGTTAGGGTTAGGGTTTTACATGCAAGGTCTGCTTCCTATTTCATAAGTGAAGTCTACTGATGGAATATTATTATGGAAATCTATGCTGGGATAACCCCTTTTTTTATTTTAAATTCATAATTTTGGCAAAATATTCTTCTTCTTAGGAGATATTGCGCATGCGCGAGCATCGTTTCAGAAGTGCAGTACGGCCTAAATCAAAATACGTAATATAGCTTGCTGCGGGAGAGAGGGATGGGAGACCAACGGAAGGTGGCAGGGAAGACAGCCGAGGGGCGGTGGAAGAAGAAGGAGGCTGAGCGTGCGACAAGGGAGACAAGGGGAAGGGCGGGCGGGAATGAAGTAGCCTACTGGCTAGGGCGCTCTCCTAATTATAAACACAGGTCTACTGATAAGAATTTATTACAAAAGCCTATGCTGAGATACTCCCTTACCATATTAAATGCATTTGCAGCACAAAATATAACTCTTCCGGTGAGATATTGCACATGCGCCCAAACAGTAACGTAGCCAGCTTATGTACTGACTGGTATATGCAGCCGAGACCTTACATGCAAGGTGTGCTTCCGATTTCATAAGTGAAATCTACTGATGGAATATTATCATGGAAATCTATGCTGGGATAACCCGTCATCATTTTAAATTCATAATTTTGGCAAAATATTCTTCTTCTTGGGAGATATTGCGCATGCGCGAGCACTGTTTTAGAGGTGCAGTACTGCCTAAACCAAAGTACGTAACATAGCTTGCTGCGGGAGAGAGGGGTGGGAGACCAACGAAAGATGGCAGTGAAGACAGCCGAGGGGCGGTGGAAGAAGAAGGAGGCTGAGCCTGGGACAAGGGAGACAAGGGGAAGGGCGGGCGGGAATGAAGTAGTAGTTTTGCACCCTACTTGCTAGGGCGCTGTCCTAATTATAAGCACAGGTCTACTGATAAGAATTTATTATAGAAGCCTATGCTGAGATACCCCCTTACCATATTAAATGCATTTGCAGCACAAAATATAACTTCTCCGGTGAGATATTGCGCATGCGCCCAAACAGTAACGTAGCCAGCTTATGTACTGACTGGTATATGCAGCCGGGACCTTACATGCAAGGTATGCTTCCTGTTTCATAAGTGAAGTCTACTGATGAAATATTATTATGGAAATCTATGCTGGGATAACCCCTCTTTATTTTAAATTCATAGTTTTGGCAAAATATTCTTCTTCTTAGGAGATATTGCGCATGCGCGAGCATCGTTTCAGAGGTGCAGTACGGCCTAAATCAAAGTACGTAATACAGCTTGCTGCGGGGGAGAGGGATTGGAGACCAACGGAAGGTGGCAGGGAAGACAGCCGAGGGGCGGTGGAAGAAGAAGGAGGCTGAGCCTGGGACAAAGGAGACAAGGGGAAAGGCGGGCGGGGATGAAGTAGTAGTTTTGCACCCTACTGGCTAGGGCGCTCTCCTAATTATAAACACAGGTCTACTGATTAGAATTTATTACAGAAGCCTATGCTGAGATACCCCCTTACCATATTAAATGCATTTGCAGCACAAAATATAACTCTTCCGGTGAGATATTGCGCATGCGCCCAAACAGTAACGTAGCCAGCTTATGTACTGACTGGAGTGTGCAGCCGGGACCTTACATGCAAAGTCTGCTTCCTATTTCATAAGTGAAGTCTACTGATGGAATATTATCATGGAAATCTATGCTGGGATAACCCCTCTTCATTTTAAATTCATAATTTTGGCAAAATATTCTTCTTCTTAGGAGATATTGCGCATGCGCGAGCATCGTTTCAGAGGTGCAGTACCATAGAAATCGCAACACTAACCGTTAGTTAGTGTTGCGATT